ATATGCAACCCTATGTTCATAGCAGCACTATTTATAAGATCTGGAAGCAGCTCATGGGAAGAGATTAACCAAAGAATTATATCCATATATGCATAGTCCATGAACACAGAAAATAGTGTGGGGAAACTTGGTGTGGGGTGGGGGCTGGGTGGGGGATACAAAGTTGGGGGAAATGGGGGACTTCTATAATATTGTCAACAATAAATTTAACAAAAAGCTTCATATAGGTATGAGTCAATATTATTGACTGTGCAATGTTATTGAATCAACAACTTACATTAAGGGGGCTTTAAAATGCACATAAAACAAGGTTATGTTTAATTAGTTGATGAAATTGTTGTGGCCAAAGGCTCACATGAACCTAACTGTATTTCCTCTAAGAGCAATGGTTTGGTTTTCATAAATTCAGTGTTCATGTGGCTTTTATAGAGCTTAATTACTTTGAATAATGAAAATGGTCTATAATTTTACCTTTATTGTTAAACATTTTTACTCAGTATAAGTAGCAATTATAGCAATGACTGGTGTTTCACATTCAACAGAATGAACTTCCAAAAGCTTTACTTTGATGGATTATGTGAAAACAATCAAACAATTGGAATTAACTGACTTTTCTAGTTGATATATCTCCTGACACTCATTTAAGTGTGAATTTCTTTTGCTAATAAAGCCAACAAAATGTCAGCTGTCACTTAACTTTGACTGTTTAAATAAGATAATTTGTAATCATAGCTGACTAAGAAATGTAAAGAACAGTCTTTTTTATTTTTATTGTTGACACTAGTACCAATGTCCTCATTTTCCCTCCCTTTTCCCACCTCTACCAAGCCCACCCCCATATCCTTCCCTCTGGTTATCACCATACCAGTAGGTTATACATATGTATTTAAATAACAGTCATTTGACCTAATTGGAAAGCCATGCTTTATAGAGTAATATTTAAAACATCTTCTCCATATGCTTTTCTTAATTGGTGTAATCAAGTTAGGCATAAGCAGAGCAGCAGCACTGAATATTTCTTCAACCTTCACCCAAGGTAAAGGAGTCAGCTACTCCTGAATGCTATTTATGTAAGTGGCTTAGGTGGTATATTTGTGGATGAAGTTATAGTTACAGCCCATCAGATACAGTCCATCCAGAGATGGGCTATTGATCATGGCCTTTCAGATTTAACCACATGTTAAATGGCACTAGGTTCAGTGCACATGCATCTCACACTGCTCAATGAGATTAGGGCAGAACCTGAAAGTAAAAGTCCTGGCTTATTATAATACTACTTTTAAAATATCACTAGAAAATGGAAAATCCAGGACAAATAATAAATTGGTTGAGACAGTGGTAATAATTTGGCACTGCCTCAGGCAAACTGTTATACATAGATATTTTGCCAGACACTTTTTTAAAAAATCTCCTAATCCCAAACCCTTACTATTTTCCTTCATAAAGACTTTGCCCTCAATATGATTCACTTGTTTATGACTCTTTAGTAATTTCCACAGCATTATGTATATTGAAAAGAATGTGAAACATCCTTCTTAGTCAATTTTTATTCATTGTGGCCTTTTTTCCCTATAACCTTTTCTATTTATCTTAAAGCTTTTATTAAAATTTGCATGCCTTTATTATTTTTTTCTGAATATGTCTTTTATCAGATATATAATTTACAAATATTATCTCCTATTAGCTTGACTTTTCCTTTTTTTGTTTTCCTTTTTATTGAATTCATGGGGGTTTCATTAGTTAACAAAATTGTACAAGTTTCAGTTGCACAATTCCCCATCATCTGTAAACTGCATTGTGTGTTCACCATACCAAGTCATGTCTACTTCCATCACGTAACCCATACTGCCCTCCACTTTTCCCTACCCCTCTCCCCACAGCAGTCACTACTAAGTGTCCATGAGTTTTTTATTTTTGCTCAATCCTTCCAACTCCCCCCCTCCCCCCCGGCCCCCGGCCCACAACCTCTCAACCCTCTCACCCCCACAGCTCTCAGCTTGCTCTCTATGAATCTATTTCTATCTTGTTTGTTAGGTCATTTTGTTTCCAAATGAGTGCAATCATATGGTACTTGTCTTTCCCTGACTCACTTATTCCACTTAACATAATGCTCTTTGGGTCCATCTATGCTATCACAAAAGATAAGATTTCCTTTTTTTTTTTTTTTTTTTTTTTTTTTTATAGCTGAGTAGTATTCCATTGTTTAAATGTACCATGGCTTTTTTTATCCACTCATCTACTGATGGACACTTAGGCTGCTTCCAAATTTTGGCTATTGTAAACAACTCTGCAATGAACAAAGGGGTGCATATATTCTTTTGAATAAGTGTTTTGGGTTTTTTCAGATAAATTCCCAGAAGTGGGTCATAAGGCAGTTCTATTTTTAATTTTTTTACTGCTTTTCACAGTGACTCCACCAGTCTGTATTCCCAACAGTAGTGCACAAGGGTCCCCTTTCCTCCACATCCTTTTCAAACATTGATTTATTAATAGTAGTTATTCTGACAGGTGTAAGGTGATATCCATTGTGGTTTTAATTTGCATTTCTCTGATGATTAGTCATGTTTTCATATGTCTATTTGCCATCTGTATGCCCTCTGTGAGAAAAAATTCTATTCAGGTCCTTTGCCCATTTTTTATTTGAATTGTTTGCTCTTTTTGGTATTGAGTTTTATAAATTAAAAGAGGCCTGGTGCACGAAATTTGTGCATGTGGGGTGTGTCCCTAAGCCCAGCCTGCACCCTCTCCAATCTGCACCTTCTCCAATCCCAGTAGGATTGGGCCTGAACAGGCAGTCGGACATTCCACTCACAATCCAGGACTGCATGCTCCCAACTGCTTGCTGCCTGCCTTCCTGATTCCCCTAACTGCTTGCTGCCTGCCTTCCTGATTCCCCTAACTGCTTCTGCCTGCCAGCCTGATCACCCCCTAACCACTCCCCTGTCAGCCTGATTAAAGTCTAACTGACCCCCTGCCAGCCTGATTACCCCTAACTGCCCTTCCTTATAGGCCTGGTCACCCTTAACTGCCCTCCCTGCAGGCCTGGTCCCCCACAACTGCCCTCCCCTGCATGCCTGGTTCCCCCAACTGCTCTCCCCGTAGGCCTGGGTCCTGCCCAACTGCCCTCTTGCAAACCTGGTCCCTCTCAAGCACCCTCCCCTGCTGGCCTGATCACCCATAACTGCCCTTCCTGTAGGCCTGATCCCTCCCAACTGCCCTTCCCTGATGGTCATCTTATGATGGCCACCTTGTGTCCACATGGGGGCAACCATCTTTGACCACATGGGGGTAGTCATCTGTGTGTTGGAATGACGGCCAACTTGCATATTATTTTTTTATTAGATAGGATAGAGACCTGGTGCATGTGTGGGGACTGGCTGGTTTGCTCTGAAGGATGTCCCGGATCAGGTTGGGGGTTCCCTTGGGGCATGGGGCGGGTGGCCTGGGCAAGGGGCCTGTGGTGGTATGCAGGACGGTCACACTGCCTGCAACCCAAGCAGAGGCCCTAGTATGTGGGATTTATTTATCTTCTATAATTGAAACTTTGTGGTCTTAAGCAGAGGCTAGAGCCAGCCCAAACCTTGGCTTCCTCTATCGCTGGGGAAACCTAAGCCTCCTGCTCGCTCAGTGACTGTAACCATCTTGGTTGGGTAATACTTGCACCTGATTGGCTTGTGGGCGTGGCTTGTGGGCATAGTGAAGATATGGTAAATTTGGATGTATCTCTTTTCTTAGTGTAGATTTGTAAACCTTGAATAGTAACACCTTATAGATGTTTCAGCAAATATGTTTTTCCATTGAGTGGATTGTCTTCATTTTGATGATATTTTTGCTATGCAAAAGCTTTTTAGTTTTATGTAATCCATTTACTTATTTATTTTTTTGTTTCTTTTGTCTAAGTAGATATAACAGAAAAAATATCACTATGAGAAATGTCTGAGATTTTACTGCCTATGTTTTTAGAAGTTTTAGGTTTCGAGTCTAACATTGAAGCCTTTATTTTTTATTTATTTAATATATATTTTTACTGATTTTAGAGAGGATGAGAGAGGGAGTGAGAGAAACATTAATGATGAGAGAGAAGCATTGATTGTCTCCTGCATACCTCCTACTAAGGTTCGAGCCAACAACCCAGACATGTGCCCTTGTCCAGAATTGAATCCAAGACCATTTAGTCCACAGGCCAACACTCTATCCACTTATCCAAACCAACTAGGACTGACATTGAAGTCTTTCATTCATTTGAGTTTATTCTTATGGATGGTGTAAGAAGGTGGTCTAGTTTCTTTCTTCTCCTTCTCCTCTTCCTCCTCCTCCTCCTCCTCCTCCTCCTCCTCCTCTCCTCCTCCTCCTCCTTCTTCTTCTTCTTCTTCTTCTTCTTCTTCTTCTTCTTTTTTTTTTTTTTTCATGTAACTCTTGTGTTCCTAGCACCATTTATTGAATAGACTGTCTTTATCCCATTGTGTTTTTACCTTCTTTGTCAAGTATTGATTCTCTATAAAGGTGTGGGTTTATTCCTGAGCTGTCCATTCTGTTCATTGATCTATATGTCTGTTTTTATGCCATTGCCATGATGTTTTGATTACTATGGCCTTGTATAGTTTGATATAAGGTTGATGTAAGATAGAGAAATTCTTCCCACTTTATTGTTCTTCTTTTTTTTCTTTTCTTCAAGATTGCTCTAGCAATGTGGGGTCTTTTGTTGTTCCATAGAAATTTTTGGAATATGTGTTCTAATTCTATGGAATATGCCATTGGGTATCTTGATAGCATGCCTTTGTTTTTAAAGACATATAATTCATATATGGAATTATTCTCTATTAAATTCATTTTTTGTTATCTTAATAAAAAGATGATATAGTAATTAAAAATGAAATTTTGGAATTAAAGGAAAGTAGTTTTACATATAGTTGATAAAAAATCATTATTTGAATATGATATAGTTGATAAAAATTTATTATTTGAATATGATTATAATAATACTTTATATTCTATTACAGGATTAATTAAAAAGATTTACCACATATCTTATGACTTTTTATTGGAGCCTTGAGAGAAAGGTAAGTGACAAGCATTTTTTGAAGAAATATTTCTGAAAGTGATTTGATCTAACAGTTTCCTGACAATGTGAACAATGGAGCATATCTTTAAAGATTTACCTCTTTTCTTCTCAATGAAACATTAATAGAAATGCCATGTTTACATTAATCATAATGTAACATTTCCCTATCATACAATAAATCTTATCTTCCAAGGAGCTGTATTTTTTAATATATTTTATTGATTTTTTACAGAGAGCAAGGGAGAGGGATAGAGAGTTAGAAACATCCATAGGAAAAAAACATTGATCAGCTGCCTCCTGCACACCTGCTACTGGCAATGTTCCCACAACCAAGGTACATGCCCTTGACCGGATTAGAACCTGGGACCCTTCAGTCCACAGGGCAGTGTTCTATTCACCAAGCCAAATTGGTGTGGGCACATCTGTATTTTTATAATAATTATAATTAGAACATTGTTAATAAGACACACAAGTTTAGCATGTTCTAAAACAGAAAGCACTAAAAACATGCCATTAAATACAATGTGGTACCATGGATTGGGTCTTAGAACTGATAAAATATATCCGTGAGGAAAATCCAAATAAAGTCTGTAGTTTAGTTAATAGTAATGTACCAATGTTAGTTTCTTAGTTTTGACAAAGCCATGGTTATATAAGATGTTAACTGTAGGTGAAACTGGGTGAAGGGCATATAAGTTCTTTGTATTATCTTTGCAACTTTTCTGTAATTCTAGAATTATTCCAAAACAATGTTTAATTAAAGCAGAAAAATATCAAGGTTTATTGGTTTGAAATTATAAGTGACTTTTCTATATAGTAGTTTGAAAAATCAAAATTATTATCTTTTTAAAAGTTTAAATTTCATGAAATAGAGATATAGGGAAATATGCAACCATGGGTTTCATAAGAGGTGTGGGACTTTAGTTTTTGGACAGTGGTATGGTGCTCATGAACGCATCCTTGTTCTTGGCTACAACTTTGCTCTGAGTCCTTCCAGGTACTTGTATGTTCTTCAGTAGTTTAGTATAGCACTGTCTGTAATCACAAGCAGGTCCTTTAAATGGTTTCCAGAACACTGTTTTCTTTTCTTTTTTTAAATGTACTGTTAGAGGCGAAAAGACAAGTGATGTGACTCAGTGGTTTGGAGTTCAGACTCTCTTAGTATAGTTTGGTTCAGTCACACTTATTTGAGCTTGTATTATAGATCAAGTACTAGATACAGATGACCTGTTGTTGTTAAAGATCATGAATAAAGATGAGTATAACTCTCAAATAACCATTTTCATAATTCCACTAAAATAATCTATTCCTGTCAGATACTAATAGAAATGATCAGTTTCCAAAATGAACTCAGGTAGTATAACTCTTTTAAATTTCTATAAATATTAAAAGAGTATAAGAAGGGAACTCTGAAACTATTATATAACTTTTCATTAATAAAAGTAAAATAGCCATGCTTTCTTTATAAGTGGTTTCTTGCTTCTATTGCCAACTTTAAAGATTTTAGTTAAACTTAAATTTCACACAGGGAAATAGAAATACACTATACGTAAAGGATATAGACATTTACAACAAGAGACCGGGTCCTGAATGACTTTTATAGAATAATTGTTAGGCTTGGAAGTTATGTTTTTGCTCGATTTTTATTCAGAATTATTGTTATCAATCTCATGTTAATAGAATTCACACCTTTATTTCTTAGTTGTGTAATATAACTGTGCCAACCTTGGTAAAAAGTTTAGAAAAATGGAGAGTTTTTACAGGAGAGTTTAAATGTGATTGACTACATACCAGTTTATACAACTAAAAAATTTTACATGCTTTTTATCATTCTATGCTAGAAGAGCATTAACATTGTTGCTTTTAGAGACAGTGGACTGACACTTTGTGATAATCTAAAGTATAAATGAGAACCCAGTTTCTCGTGGTCCCACATTTGGCATGCTGCAATTTGAGCTTGTGGGCTGGGGGGAGGGACCAAGAAGTTGGCCGTTCCACTCACTCTCCAGTTCCCCAGTCCCGCCCCAACACCACATACCCGGTTCCCTGTGGTTCCCCATTGGTCATGCTGTGATCAGAGCCTGCAGGCCAGAGAGAGGGACCAAGAGGTGGTCAATGCACCTTATAGCGACTGGTCGAGCAGTCGTTCCAGTCATTCCGCTGCTATGTTTACTGGGCTTTTATTATATAAGATGATCTCATTTAATCTTCATACACACCTATGAGATAGTTTAGAATTCCCTGTATAGATGAGGCTGAGACTAACAGATGTCTTCAGGCTAACCCTGAGGGTATGGGGCAGATTGAACAAGTGCCCCTGATGGCTGTACCTACAGTTTGGTTTATAATGTTTCCAATTTCCTGGAAATTCTGAATCCTTAAATGCATGATAAACTTCAGATACTTTAGTTATTCTGGATAAAAGGATGTCTGATCACATTGGGTAACCAAGATTAAATTTTCCCATGAGGTAACTAGTTTGGTGTACAATCTCCATTTCTCTATTTTAACCTTGATCTGGATCATTTTGCAGTCCCCTAATATGTTAGTTGGTTTCTGTCACCTGATTAATTGCTGAATACTCACTTACTGTGTGCTTCATTGATCATATGCCAAGAACTTTTGGCAGCTCTGGAGAATATGATCTCAATGTGTCTCCTGGTCAGTATTGAGCAACTAGAAGTTGTTAGTTGGGGTGAGTACTTGGATTCAGAAGTTAGGACACATGCCAGAGGTTAGGGATGGAACAATTGAGCAACTGACACATAAAATACAGCTATCCAAACTCAGTCAATAGGCAGGAGTCAGAAATAGAATAGGCATATGACTTTAAAAGGTGGTTTTAAAAAAGATTATAATGACTGGCTATGGATTTTATAGTATGTAGACATAAAATAATTTTAACTGCTTTTTGAGTAAGGGTAAGTTAGCAACTTATTCATTACTAGAGGCCTGGTGCACAAAATTTGTGCATGGGGGTGTCCCTCAGCCCAGCCTGTACCTTCTCCAATCTGGGACCCTCGAAGGACCTACTGAGATCGGGTCTAAATGGGCAGTTGGACATCCCTCTCACAATCCAGGACTGCTGACTCCCAATTGCTCACCTGCCTGTCTTTCTGATTGCCCCTAACCTCTTCTGCCTGCCAGCCTGATCACCCCATAACCACTCTCCTGCCAGCCTGATTGATGTCTAACTGCTCTCCTGATAGCCTGTTTGCCCCCAACTTCCCTCCTCTGCTGGCCTTATCACCCCTAACTGCCCTCCTCTGCTGGGTTGATCGCCTCCAACTGCCCTCCTTTACAAGCCTGGTCCCTCCCAACTGTCCTCCCATGCTGGCCATCTTGTGGTGACCATCTTGTGTCCACATGCGGGCAGGATCTTTGACCACATGGGGGCAGCCATCTTGTGTGTTGTAGTGATGGTCAATCTGCATATTACTCTTTTATTAGATCTGATAGAGACCTGATGCATGGGTGGAGGCCAGCTGGTTTGTCCTAAAGGGTGTTCTGGATCACGTTGGGGGTTCCCTTGGGGTGTGGAGCAGCCTTTCTGAGGAGACTGTGGTGGTTTGCCCAAGTGGAGGCCCTGGTATCTGGTATTTACTTATCTTCTACAATTGAAACTTTGTAACCTTAAGCAGAGGTCAAAGCAGGCCAGGGCTGCAGAAGCTTTCCTTCCTCCATCGCCGGGGGCAACCCTAGCCTTCTGCTCTCTTCAGTTCTGTGGCTGCTGCCATTTCTGTTGGGATTTATATATCTTCTACCGTGTTTCCTTGAAAATAAGACATCCTCCGAAAATAAGACCTACTTACAGGTTTCCTTCTGAGTGAAATATAAGGCATCCCCCGAAAATAAGGCCCCCCTTAGGCTAAACATGAGAGATTTGGTCCACTGATTCTGAAAGAAATGGAGTCACAAGAAATTCACCAGGAAATTTAGGAATTGGATTGATGATGTTCCAGAAGATGATGACATGATTGTCATTGAATAAATGAGTAAATTCTTGATACTGTAGGATTCACGGTTTGTCTGGTTTGTGTTGACAACTACCGTACTACCGTACCGTATACAGGTAATAAATTCCCTTTAATTTCACTTAACAATAAATGTGTACCGTATTCTTCTTCATGGAAAAATAAGACATCCCCTGAAAATAAGACCTAGCGCATCTTTGGGAGCAAAAATTAATATAAGACACTGTCTTATTTTCAGGGAAACAGGGTATAATTGAAAATTTATAGCCTTAAGTGGAAGCCTGGCTGGCCAGAGTATGCAGAAAGCTTGGCTTTCTCCATCACCGGGGAAACCCGAGCCTCCCTCCTGCTCTCTCTGTGGCTGTAGTCAACTTAGATTGGTTAATTTGCATACTCACTCCTGATTGGCTGATGGATGTGGCTTGAGGGTATAGTGGAGTGATGGTTAATTTGCATATTACTCTTTTATTAGATAGGATAGTGCTTATTACACTGAACAGAAATCTTTATAACTTCCCCATCTAGCTATGTCTTTCTGTAGTTCTAAATCTCTAATTCCTCTTATACTTGAAAACATAAGATAATATAAAATTTCCCTTTCTATCTCTTCCTTTTCATCTTTTCCAAAAGTTGGCATTCTTTAGGGCCTAGTCCTTGGCCACCTTCTATATTTATTCTTTATGTGCTTTTCTCTAAATTCTCCAAGTTCATTTGGAATCAGATAAATCCCTCCTACTCCCCTACTCTACACCATCATCCTAAACAGTCCAGCCTCTAGCCTTTTACAACTGGAGCTAGATTTAAAGACAAGAAAAGTACATATGCAAAGCTTTTTAGCACAGAGACCCTACTAGGAAAGGTCATGCTATAAATGTTGTGCTTTTATTATTCCAACTTTCTGTCATGTGAATTGGTTTCAAGTGTAAGAGGGTCTGGAGATTTAGTGATATAGAAAGATGTAGCTAGATCAGTGGAGAGAAGTTACAGAGAGAGATTTCTGCTCAGTGTAATGAACACTATAATG